TGTTTGTGCACATAGATTTTGCTCTTTCTGTCTTTTTGTCATTTCTGCTGTTTCATCTTTGTCACAGCTGTTTGGGTTGTGTTTATTAGGTGTCAAATATACAGCGTATTTAAAACTGTTCGCTACATAGCTTTCCTACTGATATTTACCAGCTGATTGGTTCTCTTTTTGATACATCGTTTTCAAAACTGTTTTGCTTCTAAAACCTAAAAATTAAATATAATTTTAAACTTGATCAATCTTTGTCTGTAGATTTGCTAAAGATACTTCTTCGGATGATATAAAGTCATACATATCGACTAAAATTAAAACTAAAGATGTAAATTTAATTTTAAATACGATCGCGATATTTCATCTTTTAAAATTGATGTAGCTTCCGAAGATTTTGATTCATTACTAAATAATTCATTTTGGCCGACCGGGGCGTTTGTTCGCGAGTTTGTGATTAAACCTAAAAAAAGTAATAACAATGTAGCTAAAATTTCTAATCTTAATTCGGATTCAAAAAACTAACTCGCAAGTCTAATTTAAGTATTTACTATCAAAACGTTAGAGGTTTGAATACCAAATTAACTGACATATTTAAAAGGTTTGGTTTATAATATTATTTCCTTGACCGAAACATGGCTCAAACCTCATATATTTATTCCAAATGAATATCAAATATACAGGAGTGATCGCGAGGGCAGAATCGGCGGTGGTGTTCTTTTTGCGGTGCATTCATCGATACCATCCGAGGAAGTTAGTGTTCCTGTCATTGAATATACCGAATTTAAACAGGCATTAAAGATTTATATTTATATAGCTCTTTGCTACATCCTTCCTAATTCTGCCGTATCAGTATATATGCAGCTAGTTTCGTTACTTGAGACCGTAAATGCAATGCTTACGGCATCCGATTCTATGATTGTTTTGGGCGATTTAAATCTGCCACACATTTCATGAAACATCATTGACACCGATGTTGTACCAATTTCATCTAAAGATAGTTACAATGTATTTCTGGAGGCTGAACTTTGCCTTAAACAAATAAATATATGTCCAAATAAGTTTGGAAAGGTCTTGGATCTTGTTTACGTTGATGATGTTCCGAAGGCCTCTATTAATCGGTGTGATCCCCAGATGCGTACCATCCCGCTCTTGAGTTAACTACGAAATCATAAATTAAATACATAATAATAAGTCGTTTAGTTCAAGTACTAGATATGTTTTTGCGAAAGCAAATTTCAGGAAAATTAACAAAAAACTTTCAAATTTATCTTGGCCTATATAAAGAGATGACGTGGAGCGCAGAGTTGAGCACTTTAATGATACTGTTTTCAATTTGTTTCGAAAGTATGTGTCAAAACGTAATATTGTTCATGAAGAACCAATACAATTATGGTTCACTAAAGAGCTTAAAAAATTGAAAAATAAAAAGTCACATTCTTTTAAACTATATAAAAGAACGGGCTTACATAGTGATTAGGTAAAGTACTCAGTTTTGCGGCATAGCTACTTTGCATTAAATAAGAAATGTTATAACTCATTTATGTAAAATTAAGAAGAATTTAATTAACAATCCTTAATCATATTATGGTTTTGTAAATTCAAAGCGTAAAGTACATGGTTTTCCGTCCGCTATGCATTATCGCAACACTGTGTCTAGCGACAGCCAACTCATTGCCAACATGTTTGCCCAGTTCTTTAGGTCAAATTATTCTGTAGACTTCCCTATAAGTGGAGACTATCCGTACGAGCAACTATCAACTCTGCTTATATTCCAGTAATATCTTCCGATGAAGTTTTACACTATTTAAAAATCTTAAAAGCGTCATTTAGGCCTGGACCTGATCATATTCCGACCTGTTTTCGCTGAGAACATTTGCGAGCCTTTAACAACTCTATTCAATATGTCACTTAAACATGGCGTTTTTCCGTCAGCCTGGAAGGAGTCTTTCATAATACCACTTCACAAAAACGGCAGCAGGTCCTCTATAGAAAACTATCGAGGCATAGCGAAGCTATCCGCTATCCCCAAATTATTCGAAGCAATTATTGTTAATCAGCACGGGTTTTCTAAAGGAAAATCTACTATCACTAATTTATTGGAGTTTACAACTCATGTCTCAAACGGTTTTACAGAAAATGCTCATACCGACGTAATATACACCGATTTCAGTAAAGCTTTTGACAAAGTATGTCACTCGTTACTCATCCGTAAACTCGACCTAATCGGCTTTCAGCCCAGTCTTCTTCAATGGATTTCATCTTACCTCTCTGATAGAACACAAAGAGTTATTGTTAATAATTGTTCTTCCAACATCATTAAAGTTTCTTCAGGAGTTCCTCAGGGAAGCCACCTTGGTCCGATTCTGTTCCTGATATTCATTAATGATATTTAATCTATAATAAAACATTCTAAAATTTTAATGTATGCCGATGATGTGAAACTTTTTAAAACAATGTCCTCTATCGAAGAAAGGTCTTTGTTACGAGCGGATCTGAGCAACGTGGTTAGTACAACAGTACAACAACAGCACTTAACGCCATAAACACTCAGATAACTCGTGTCCTTAACCGTAACCGTCCCTGTGAGAGAACGATTCTAGTAGCGTTGGACCTGTCAAAGGCTTTAGACACTGTCAGCCATTCTACGCTACTAGAAGATATAGAGGCCTCCTCTCTCCCACAGACGCTCAAACGGTGGTCGACACTCGTCGGTAATGTTTGGAGACAAATCGAGCAAACTTAGGAAAATCAAACAGGGGGTTCCACAGGGTGGTGTCCTTTCCCCGCTACTCTACATTTTTTTATATTTCAAAGCTCCCTCAACCACCAGAAGGAGTCTCGATTGTCTCTTACGCCGACGATTGCTCGATCATGGCGACTGGGAATGGAATTGATGACCTGTGTTCGAAAGTAAACGGGTATCTCTCCGATCTTTCTCGCTTCTTCACTGCAAAGTGTCTAGGGGAGAGGCCCCTACGAAATCCTCTGCGACCTTGTTGGACGAAGGGGGTCAGGCTACCGCTGGGAATTCACGTCGATGATACACCAATTCTGACGGTGAATAACCCCAAAATACTCGGAGTAACATTCGACAGCCTGCTCTCCTTCTCTGCGCACGCAACCGCTATTGTCAACAAAGTACAGAGCCGCAACAAAGTCCTCAAGTCGCTAGCCGGCAGTACCTGGGGCAAAGACAAAGAAATGTTGCTGGCAACATATAAAGCAATAGGCCGGCCGGTTTTAAACTACGCAGCACCAGTGTGGTCGCCGGGTTCTAGTAGGGCGCAGTGGATGAAGCTACAGACTGCACAGAACACCGCACTCAGGACAGCGACCGGATGCCTCCTGATGTCACCCGAACACCACCTCCATGACGAGGCGAAAATGCTCCCAATTAGGGAGCATAACATAATGCTCTGCAAATAGTTTCTGGTTGGGAGCCACAGATGGCCACCCAAACAGACAGCTGCTTGCAGAGGAGCCCTCGCCTAGACACGTCAGGAGGCATCTATATGAACTGACGGTCGAAGTCCAGAGGTTCATTAAGCAGCCTCTGGACCCGTCAGCATACCGACAGGCCGTGAACGGCATTCACAGGGACTCAGTCTCGAGTTATGTAGGCTCTAGACCTGTGAATGCCGTTCTAGGCACACAAACACCGGACATTGACGTGACGAAGCTCCATCTGCCTCGGGAGACAAGAACAATAATAGCCCAACTTCGCAGCAGGTTAAACTCATACCTGAGTAGACTAAATGAGGATGTGCCAAATGAGTGACCGGCATGCGGAGAGACCCCTCACGACTCGAAACAGCTCTTCGCATGCCCGGAAAATCTGACAACCCTAACGACGTTGTCCCTGTGGACCGACCCCATAGAGGCTGCACGCTTCTTGGGGCTGCCGTTAGTGGAACTCGGCGACAACGACTGAGATATCACCGATCTGGGCGGGGTTGTTGTAGCCGCTACAACAACAACAAATACAACAACGTGGTTAGTTGGTGTAATGCAAACTATATG